GAATTTTTTCTCTTGACAAATGTTGATAAAAATTTCATTGAGAACAGAATAGGAGGGTCCCAGTTATTTGTAGATAGAGTCAATACATTCCTTTTAATTAGTTCTTTAATCTTACAGTTATTTTCTATAAATATTTCAATGTATTTCAAAAGAGGTTTTCTAAAATAAAAATCACTCTTTCTACCTTGAACTTTGAAGATTTTTGACCTTAAATGGGGACATATAAATCTTTCTCAGACAAGTTTCCTCCTTTATCCAAAGATTTATGTTCTTAGAGTCAGCATGCCTTCATTATGTGTAGATATTTGTCAATTTAAATAAATGAATTTCATCCCAAAACTAAGCCAAAGAGTAAGGGACTGAATGAGCAACTTTACCTTCTGGTTAGGATACAAAATAATCAGAAGAGTCACAGAACAATCTCCTATCACTGAGCATTACATATGTACAAAAGCAAAGGCCTGCAAAATCATCATCGATATTGTGCTTGCAGATTAGCAATGTGAATACAGAAAGTAGCATTGTGAATACAGAAAGAATTTTTGTATTAGTATCTTTCATACACAATGGAATAAACTAATACATTCCACTTACAAAATGCTTTAATAGTAAGATCCTTCAGATCTTTCAATAGATTTTTTTTTGCCTATTCAGTCCAGATTGTAGCTTCCATCCAGTCTATATAGATTTTTCATGAAGAAAATGAATTACATTTTGTGATTCTCATTTTCATAAGAATATTCCACAGCTTGACCTAGTTGATATAATTTTCTATAATTAATAAAGCAGATACTGACTTCTTAATTATCCAACAAGCATCAACAATAATATTCCTTATTTTTCTTTCAAAGAATTTAAACATCTGGCACCTCCCTTTCCATATCAGCATAATCCTAATCATTATTTTGCTAGCATGTGAAATAGTGTGTTAGTTTGAACACTTTGTTAAAATTGTGTCCTTTCTTAGACACTGGTATGTGAGCAGACTTACTGTTCTTCTCCAGAACAGCTAGGAGATGTTAGCTAGCTTTTTTTTGGTTGCTTGCCGTAATTCTATAGATGTTCCACCAATTCTGTACCTTGTAACTTGGTAATGACTGGAATGCTGATCTGACTTCATTTTCTAATTCTTTTAAATAGAACTTTTCTATTCCCTTTTGATACCCATCTGCCAAAAGCATACTGCTATATTACTGCTGCCCAACATAATTCCTGGTAGATATCTGGGATCAGCTACAAGCCTTGGGTGACCTCTGGAAGTACTGTACATATTCTTTGCATACACTCACTCATATGTTTCATAATTAATAATGTGCATTTAAGCCTTACAAAATAAAGCAATTCTAAATTGGCACATTTTATTTTAGAAAATATTTGTTTAAACCTACATTGTTGTAGTTGTTTTAATAACTGGATAAGTATCTTTCTAGCTAACAAGAACATTTATGAAGAAATGGTTGATAACAGTGATGGGTTTGTACCAGTTTTACTACTGGTTCTGTCATGAGCGTACACGTTCTCTCTCTCTCTTTCTCTCTCTGTCTGGGTGGGTGGGTGGAGCCTCCCGCTGCTGCCACTACCGGTTCAGCCGAATTGGGCTGAACTGGAAGCAACCCATCTCTGGTTGATAACTGAGGAGCTATAGAATATGCAAGTAGAAGTTCATACATGAATATACTGTATGAATGCATGCATCATATACATATACCTCACAATAACATACAAAAGCAGTCACTGAAACTTCTCAGTTCAGGGAGGGCAATATGCATTTCCTTATCTATTATTTCATAACTGCTCAATGGGAAGATACCAGCAACTAATCAGACAGTAAAATAATTGGAGAAAACATAAATTAAATTAAGACTTCCTTGGGGCTTATGACCACATATTATAGAGAAGCTGAAGTTAGCTGTCTATAAGACTTTCTACTAATTTCATCTGGAGTGTTTAATGTATTTTCATCTTTTTAGGTCATTTTTGCTGGTTGCCATTGGACCCTTGAGAAATCGTGGGAGGCTCAAATCATTTTCTGCTTTTGAAGCCCATAGCCATAGAAAACAAATGAAAAAGGAGGAGGAGGAGGAGGAGGAGGAAAGTTTTCTCAATAATTCTGGCAGCTTATGAACAGCACATGGGAAAATATAAAAAGTAAGTCATCTTGAATATTTTAAAGTTGAAAACCTCTAAATTAGATGTTTAGTCCCTGCTTCCTGTTTCTTCTGCTCCCACACCTGCAATGGCCCAGAAGCCAACAGATGTTCTTCAAGTGCATCTCTTGCCTTTCCCAAGTGCAGTGAATGCAAACAACACATGCAGGATATTAGGAGTAGAGAAACTAAACTATTAGAAGTGAATCTTCAGTTGCACCAACTTTTTTGCATTTCACAACCTCCTGATTATAAGGTGCAATGCTACATAGACAGTTATGGGTTTAGTTATTCATATCCACACTTGCTGTTTAAGCTGTTCTGGTCTTGCACTCATAGTTGCATGAGTTCTCACTTAATAACCTATGTGGTTCTGGGGGTTACAATTGCAACTAGGACTGCTAGGATTGGTGTCACTAAACAATGCGGTCCTATGACATTGTATTTTACAACCACATCACTTAGTGATGGAAATTCTGCTCCAATTGCTGTTACAATCCAAGGACTAGCTTAATTATATTCAGCTTTGACAGCAAACTATTTCATCTTCCATTGGGCAATTCTCTTGCTGTCTGTTTGCCCACCTTTCTCTTCCAGGAAAGCAGTGGACAATCACCTTTTCTCTTGTGAGCGAACACATATACTTTATGTGTTTGTGTGCGTATATGCACATATTTTTCTGTGTGTTTGGCAGTGAAACACACATATAAGGGTATGCACTCACACAATATTAACTTTATATATATATATACAAAGATGAAGCATCAAGACACATAGACATGCTTCCACACAAAATATGGACTGTTTCAATGTATATAAATCACTTTATTAGCATAATTATTTGACAATTTTACATTTCATTTTTGGTTTTTATGGAAAGGAGTAAAGAGCTTTTGGTCTTTAATTTTCCTGTTTAGGCTTCGGAAATTGATCACTACTTTTCCTAACCAATCTTTGCATTCCAAAGCATGTATGCCTGCTTTTATTGAGACTAAAGATATTTTACTTCTTCCAGTTATTAATTCTTGAGTTTAGGTGTGATTATCCAGCCTATAGTAAACAACTTGACCTCAGTTTATAAAAAGTATGAGTACAGACGAAAGTCTTGTATTTCCTTCTTCCTAGAAATCTGCTACATGAGGTCACTTGCTTTTTGTGTGGCAATACTCTAGAACAGTGGTCTCCAACCTTGGCAACTTTAAGACTTGTGGACTTCAACTCCCAAAGCTTTGCTGGCTTTGCTGACTGAGGAACTCTGGGAGTTGAAGTCCACAAGTCTTAAAGTTGCCAAGGTTGGAGACCACTGCTCTAGAACAATCAAAAGAACTTCAGATCAAATAGAGCCACACATAATTAGCATAATAAGGATAGCTTCATTAACTGGGATGAGTGGCAAACAAATTTAATAAAGAGCCAAGATGGCGCAGTGGTTAAATGCAGCACTGCAGGCTACTGCTAGATCAGCAGGTCAGCGGTT